GGGTGGGCTGTCCTCGGCCCTTGGCTCGGGGTGAGCTGTCATGGCCCTCAGGGTGAGCTACTCAGTCCCCAGATTGTGTCATCTGACCCCTGGGTAGGAAAAAAAATGCCTAGGGTATCCAGAGAATTTTATCTAGGCCACCCTCTCTTTCTGCCACCCTCTCCCCCAGTAAACCTGAAAGCAACACCCCCCAAACCCCTCTATTTGTAACTCACAAGTTTGTTCTCTCTAGGTTTGCTCCCTTTCCTACAGGTAACCTTACCACTGAGTTTTACTTTAAACCTGACCCCGAAGCCAGTGCCAGTGACAAAAAGAAAATACAACTGCCAGCTAAAGAAGCAAAGGAGGATGGAGCCTCTGGGTTCAACCAGCCATCCCCACTGGACCCACCTGGGAAAACACTTTGCAGTCCAGAGGGGAGCAAATGACAGGAAAATATCTTCTAACAGAACAAGAAGGCAAGCAGCCTTAACCAAAGATCATCAGTAAGGTGATCAAGTGTCTTCCGTTTCCCCCTTCACATCAACACCCCTCTTCAGCATGAAGAAGCCAGAGAGTTGGCATCCAGTTCCCAAATCAGTAAGACAGTTGATTTAACGACCATTGGAAAACGCTTGTCATTTTCCTGTAGCATCTGGTCCCCACTGGATCACTTTCATTTCCTTCACCTGCTCCCCCCACCAACCAATTTCTGCAGCTCTGCAACTGCATACTTGCCCATCCTCACCCTTCTGCCCCAACCCTCACCTCCTTGTACCCCCAATTTGTTTTTTCCCAATAAAAATTTAAAAAAATGAATAAATAAGCTAAACAAAACAAAACAAAAAAACCTCAGAAAAGAAAAGATACGTTGAGGGAGCTGTTTAAAAGGGATATATGGTTAGATAATATTGTTATGACAGGAGTCCAGAAGGAAGGTAGCATAGTGGAGTGGACTTGGGAGGGAGGGTTTGAATAACAAGGAAATAATTTTTTCTTTTGCTTTTCAAAGAGAAAAGCTAATTGAGGAGGAGGGGTGGGCAGGGAGAAAAGTGGAAAAAAACCCCTAATGAGATAGTGGCAAAAAACTTCTCAAATCTGGAAAAAAAATTAATCAACAAATTCAAGAAGACTGCAGAACTTCAGAAAGGGTAACTTCAGAGAACTCAAAATTCAAATACATGATAATTAAATGGCTAAAAAATAAGTGTGAAAAATCTTGAGAGCAACGGGAAAAAATATAAGTAACATAAAACAAAAGATTTTTCAAATAGATTTTTCATCAAAAACAATGAAAACCAGAAGAAAGTGGACTAACACTTTAAAAGGAAAGACCTGTTAACCTGAGTTGGGGGAGGGGGGAAGAGACACGTGGAGACAACATCATAAGACACATTACAGACAATATTAAGAACAATATCATAAGACACATCAAGGAGACATGTAATGCTTCCTGTCCTCTACCATGACTGCTAATTTTCATCACTTAATTAAAGTATTGCCCATTTTCTCTGAGTACAATCAGAAAAAGTAATAATTTGTGGAAGATAATTTGAAATTGTACCCCATTATTTGTCAAATTTTAACCATACTAAATAATTTATGGATTTGTTTTCAAATTCTGTTCCATTGTTATGTGTAATACTACTATTACTACTACTACTACTATACAATTAAGGTGAGTGCTTCAAATCCACCAGTTGCTCCACAGGAAAGATGGGCAATCTCCTGTGCAATTAACTGACTCTGAAAACTCACTGGAAAGTCAGCTATGCATTGGTCCTAATTTGATGGTACACAACAACAACAGACTGCAGTGTGTAGGAAGTTGCACCACAAATCCAAGGGTTATGTCTTTCTGGTGGTTCAAATTCATAATTTTCTCCTCAGGGATAGTCAATCTTCTCCTGTACAGTTTACAACCTTGGGACCCCACTGGAGGGTTAGCTATGAGTTGGTTCTAACATGTTGGCAACGAATTACTGTCCAAAAATTACCAAAAGCTATTATTCATAATAGCCAAAGTATAAAGAAAAGCCCAAATTCCCGTCAGTAGTTGAATGAGTAAATTGAAAGTAGCTGCACTTTAAAACCTCTTACAAAAATAAAAAACAAACAAACAAAAAACCCCTTCTTACATGCTGGTTGCTAAACAAAAAGTCTGTGGTTTGAACTCAGCAGCTGCTGACATAAGATGAGAGATGAAGTAGTTTGCTTCTGTAAAGATTTATAGCCTTGGGGAAACTCCTCTGTTCTCTAGGGCTGAAACTGACCTGACAGCAGTGTTTCATTTTGGTTGTTCCAAATATCTGGCACTCTGCTCCCAAAAGCCACAGACTTGAAAATAACTCTGCAAACATCATGGAGTTGCCATGAGTCAGAATTGCAACTTGATGGCAACAAGCTTTTCTTTCTTTTCTTTTTTTTTTTTTTAATTTAGGTTGTTTATTTTTCATTTCAATGAACATCTACAGAGATTTTGGAATTCCATTCATTCATTGTTGCACCCTTCTCCCCGCACAAACCCCTCCCCCTCCCCCTTCTTTTCTTTTTTTAAAAGTAGTTTGTTTTGAAAGCAAGACCTGTGAGTTTCAATGTTCTTTTTCAAGATTGTTTTTGCTAATTGGAACCCTTTGCAATTCCATATATATTTAATGATTATTAAATCTTCCATTTATGTAAAAGTTGTTTTTTTAAAATATTTTTGATTTGAGTGAAAGTCTGAAGTAACTTGGTTTTCCACTTGTTATGTGCTGTCGAGTTGTGTGCGATCCATAGCAACTCTATGTACAGCATCTCTGAAGCCAGCCCCGTCCTGAGCCAGTCTCACTGATTCCGACACACCTATCCCCATTGCTTTAGGGAAATTTATGGCAGTAAATAAGATGAATAAAACAATGATTTTGAAAATCACTACCTAATGTGGAAGGGACTGGGGAGCATTATGCTAATTGAACTCAATCCCATATGGACAAATACTGTTTAAGACCATAACTGTTGAAACAGAATGGTAACTTGTAAAATGATTATGAAGATCAAAGGGATGGGGCAAGGGTAGGAGCAGAGGGATGAAGATGGGCAGGGATTGCACAATTTGATGGGTAGAAGTGGGTAAAGGAAATGAGAAAGATCTGGTGTGGAAATGTATATGGTCTTTGTAAGTAAACCAGTATAAGATAAAAATTTTCTTTAAAAAGTGAAATATTCACAACTTGCAGAACTAGAACAAAGGAGAGCAAACTATGCACAAAGCTAACAAAAGAATGAAAATAAAAGAGCCTTACAACCAGTGAAACCAGAAAACTATTTTTTAAAAGATCAGTATAAATGAATTATTTAAAAAAAAACAAAACACCAGAAAATAGACTCATTCTAAAAGAGTAAATTTAGCCTGATAACAAAGCTAAACAAACGCTACAAGAAAATTACAGACACGTATCCTTGATCAATAGATTAAAAAGAATCCTTAATACTAGCAAACATCACCATATTCAAAGGATCATAATTTCGTGGTGGTCTCTTTAGTGCCACTGAGTCTTTTCAAAGTAAAAGTGAGACCCCATGTGCTCAGGGTAGAATCACTTCACAAGAGTTCAAGGCTGTGAGCTTTCAGGTACAGAAGGCTACACCCACTTTTGGAAAATCCTCTGGTTTTGAAACACCAACTTTTAGGCTATTATCCACAAAATTTGCCAAAAAGGAACTCCTACACACCATAACCTAGTGAGATCCTCCCCCCGCTCCCCAGATTGCAAGAATATTCAGTGTAGTATATATTAATAGAATGGCGAGAATCACGTGATCATCTCAGTAAAGGCATGTGACAAAAGCCAAATCAATAAGAAATTAATCAGTATGATAATTTTCTTAGTTGCATAAAGTATAAAAAACCCCCACTCCAGCCATTACTATTCAACATTGAGTAATACTAAAAATACTGAGTAATTAGCCATGAATAAAAAAGTGTATCCAAGTCAAATAGGAAAAAGTCAACTAACTTTTCCACCAACATCGTAGAGGGACATGCTTGGGTGCTAACTGGAGAGTCAGCATTTCAAACCCACCAGCCACACCACAGAACTAAGATGTGGTGGGCTACTCTTAGATTACAGCCAAGGAAGGCCTATTGAACAATTTTATTCTTCCCTTCAGTCATTTTGAATCAGAATTGGTTTGAAGGGAAGCAGCAATCACCTGTATTTGCAATATGACCTCTATAAGAAAACTCCAAAGAACCATAAGAAAGCTTATTACAATTCCTAAATTAATTTGGCAAAGTGGCTAGATAAAATACATGCAAAAATAATTTGGGTTTTTTATATTAGCAATGAGCAATCATAAAACAATTCTGCTACATGAATAAAGCAACTAAGAATAAACTAGCCAAGAAAATGTAAGACTTGACAGCTGAAAACTTTAAGCATGGATAAAAAGAAATTGTGTAACATTAAGTCAGAGCTGACTCTGAAAACCAGTAGATTTTCAGAGGCAGTTAATCACATAGGAGATTGACCGTCTTTCTTGGGAGAAGCAGATTCGAACTCTATGCCTTCAAGAGTGCCGTGCAGTTTCTTAATAAACAAAAAAACTGTCGTGGATTGTAAAACAAAATTAGTTATTAATACTACCCAAAGTTATCTATAGATTCAATATAATCCCTATTTTTTAAAAAATCCCTATCAAAAACTATTTTTCCATTTTATTTTTTTATTATTAATTTTAATAGACATTTACAGAGGTTTTGGATTTCCATTCATTCATTGCTGCGCTTTTCTAATTTTTAAAAAAACAATAATGGCTATGTTCCCTGCAGCAGTGTTTATCAGTACTTGCAAAGAGATGAAAACAACACAAGTACCTATCAACAGATGAATAGACCACCTGGTAGCTATGCATGGTAGAATATTATGCAACACTAAAAAATAATGAAATTGAGACACCCCGTATAACACAGCCAGTCACTTTGCAGTGACCCAGAAATTTGTCTTCTTGATGCAGAGAAGGTGTCCACTCCACCAGGTTTAAAGCAGAACAGCTAGGGCCACTTCTTTGATTGTGGATGCAGCATTTTTCAGTTCTTGTTCTGTCTGTTCCACTGTGACTGCAACTCTAATACTGAAAAATAATAAAGGATATAAAAAAATAATCAAGTAATCTATGGCCTAATATCAATATCTAGCTCTTGACAATAAAGTTCTGGGAACACAGCTATACTCATTTGTCCAGAGCTGCTTCTGTATCACAATGACAAAGCTGAGTGGTGCTAACAGGAATCCCATGAGTCACAAGCCTGAAATATTTGCTTAACACAGGATGTCAACAATTCTCAAATCAATGAGTAAGCGTTGGTTGTCTATATGTCTAATCATAATTTAATAAATAATGAAGTTATATAATACTTTTAGGCAAGGCAGAAAATGCTAGCTTTCAGAAAGTTCTCCTGCTTTTTTTTTAATTTACAAGCACTCACTGGAAACGCATCTCCTGAGCTATACAGACATAGGAGTGGAGCCTGGAGTACTGAGCAGCACAGAGCAAGTATGGCCCTGTCTTCAAGTTCTATGGCCTCACTACTAATTACCCAGTTGGGGAGTTCAGCAAAAAATGAGTGGTGGAATTGGAAAGGGGTACTAGCCAGTTGCGGCTAGAATGTTTTCCCAAAGTCCAAGACTTATATACTGCATTCGCACAGCACTTACACTCCTTAGTGTGTGCATCCCTGGCGTAACATCTGTTTCTTCAAAGGAATCTTTCAGCTATCTTTGCAGCTTGTATAATGGGATCCCTAAATAAACATGCACGTTTTCAAATAATTTTAAGCTCCTGGGAAAAGCTCTCCTCACCCTACCACTATATTGCTAAGCACTCACAGTTCATTTGAAATATCACATAGTTCACCATGCTCAACTCAAGAAGCATCTGCTCCAAGACCCCACTGCATTCTCCTAGGTGTTCTTTCCAACAGTGTTCTTTCCCTTTTGCAACTGCAATGAACCCAATGCTGCTATGCCCCCAATATACCCCTGGTTTTGTGGCCCCTCACCTGGCTATACTGTAAGCTCTTCTGAATATAATTAAGTCTCCATTACTTTTACTATGTTTTTTTTTAAATGAATACCAGTTTAAAACTGTGAATCAAGGCATCCCAATACAGGCTTTCTAGGTCTCTATAGATTTGCCCTACTCTTTGTCCACTTTACTCTAGGTTTTATTGCTGGAGGATGAATTACCACAAGATGCTCTGGTCTGCAGAACTGGATGATGGCCCAGACCGTTGTCCCCTCTACAGGACTGTCCTGGCAGAAGTTGCTGGTACAGTGCATGAAACATTCGGCATACTATACACTGGAAATTTATTTTTGGTGATCTTTTCCAGATTGCTGACCAGAAGTTTAACTTAGGTCAAATAATATTTGACATCCTTAGCACTTCTTTAGGCTAACTCGAAGAGTATGTGTGAATCATTAAGAGTATTTCCAGTTATAATTTGAAAATAAAGTTTAAGAACAGAAACTTGATGATTTATTATTTTAATGATAGCCATTTTTCCTTATCCTGTGATACTCCTGAAATTTTTTATACATAGTTATTTCAGACTTCTTCTACTCTGTTGGCCAGACAGCTGTCCTCCAGATTTTCTGGCATAAGCTGCATCTGTTAACTGAAACAAGTCAATTGTTATCCCACTGTTTCCTGAGGCATTATGTTTTCAATGCCTTCAATGTAGCTTCCACTTACTCCTTTATTACTATTGGCTCTTGTTCATAAGATACTTCCTGAAATTTTTCAATGTCAATCAATCTGGTACAGTGATTCTGTGTATTTCCTCCATCTTCTTTTAATGCTCTCTGGATCATTCAATATATTGCCCATAGAATCTTTCAATATTGTGACATGAGGCTTAAATTTGTTTTTCAGTTCTCTCAGCTTGAGAAATGGAGAGCAAGTTCTTCCCTTTTTATTCTCCAATTCAAGCTCTTGGCACATTCCATTAAAATACTTTGTTCCGAGCTTCTGAGCTGCCCTTTGAAATCTTCTGTTAGGATCTTTTACTTTTGTTTTTCTTTTGTTTTGGCTTCTTGATGCTACAGTGTAATCTTTGCTTGCTGAAAGTGAGGAAGACTTGAAACACTTATTGCAGAAGATCAAGGTATGCAGCCTTAGGTATGAATGCATCTCAATGTCCACACAAATATTCTTACCACTGGACTGATAAGCAACATCATACTGGATGGAGAAGAGATTGAAACTGTCAACAGCTTCATTTTGCTTGGATCCACAATTAACATCCTTGGTACCAGCAGTCATGAAATAAGGAGATGCACTGCACTGGGAAAATCTGAAGTTAGACTCTTTTCTAAATTACTATGGATTAATGATATCAGTTTGGGGACTAAGGTGGGTCTGATTCATGTCTTTCTCATCACTTGCTCTGTATCTGAGAGCTAGATAATGAATAAGGATGACAGAAAAAGAATCGATGCCTTAGAGCATTGGCGTTGGAGAAGAACACTGAACATCCATCCCAAGGAACGCCAAGAAAACAAACAGATATGTCGTGGAGAGGGTGCAGCTGGAGTGCTCTTTGGTGGCAAGAATGATGAGGCTTCACTTCACATACTTTGAACATGTTGCTAAGTGGGGCTATTCTTGGAGAGGGACATAATCCTGGGAAGGGTGGAGGGTTGGAGAAGGAGAGGAAGACCCTCAACTAGGTGGACTGACACAGTGACTGCTACAGTGGGCTCTTGAGCATCAGGAAGTGTGAAGATGGCACCGGCTACAATAAGGTTTACATCTTTTGTTCAAAGGGTCGCTATGAGTTGTACTCAACTCAGTAGCATCTAACACCATCACATTTCATGAAGACATAAAAAAAAATATATATACTTTAATGTCAACCAACCTCGGAGGTGGGAGGCACTTCTCTTCTTTCTCCAAATAGCGTGCTTGGGTTAATGCGATACCCCTGCTAATGCACTACATGGGGGGCGGGGGAGGGAGAAAATGTCAGATATTGTGCCAATTAAAACAGGAAGATTCACAGAAATGCTAGCCCTCAACAACAGTTTTAATTCATTTTCCCAATTATAGAGACTAGAAGAGTAAAATAGTACAATATAATCTACTGAAGAAATGGCGATTTTTCCTTCTCTGTCCTATATAGTAGCAACTTGTTACAAGTAGTTACTGAATACTTTTGCTATGGCTACTAATGCTGAGAATTGAAATTTTACTTACTCTTTATTAATTTAAATAGTCACAGGTAGCTAGTGGTGTTCTACTAGGCAGAGCAGAGTTAGAACTTAGAAATAATATGAACCGTGGCACCAGGGATATCACTGATGATGTCTGATGGATCTTGGATAAAAGCAGAGAGTATCAGAAGGCTATTTATTTGAATTTTGCAAACTCTGCAAAGGCATCTGATTGTATAGATAACAAATTATGGGTAACATTGAGAAGAATGGGAATTTCAAAATACTTAACTGTACTTTTGAGAAAGCTTTATTTAGACCAAGAAGCTACTGAATGAACAAAGTAAGGGAACACTAACATGGTTTAAAATTAAAAACGGTGTGAGCCAGGGTTGTATCCTTTCTCCATACCTATTCAGTCTGTATGCTTAACTAATACTCATCAAGCTAGACTCTATGAAGAAGAATGTGAGATCAGGATCAGGGGAAAATTCATCAAAAACCTGTGTTATGCTGATGATATGACCTTGAAAGTGAGAACTTGAAGTGCTTACAGCAGAAGATCAAACACTAGCACTTTCAATATGGATTATATCTCAAAATTAAGTAAACAAAAATCCTCACTACTGGATCAAAAAACAACATCATGATACAGAAAGAAAAGAGCGACGTTAACAATTTCATCTCACTTAGATTAACAATCAAATATTTGGTAGCAGCAATCAAGAAATCCAAAGATAAGTCATAATGGGAAAATCTCCTTACTAGTAATGATGCTCTTTAAAAGTTTAAAGTCTAAAGTGTAACTAATTCAAGCCATCGTCTTTTTAATTACCGTCCATCTGGAAGTTGTGAAGTGAATTAAGGATGACAGGAGAAAAATTGATGTCTTTGAGTTGTGATGTTAGACCCATGCACCTCTTTTGATTTGTTTTGCTGGATTCATAGAACAACTGTATCTTGGAGAAAGTGCACTCAGGGTGTTGGAGGCAAAGATGGTGAAATTTGTCTCATGTACTTTGGGCATGTTGTTAGGAGGGTCTAGTTCTTAAAAGAAGACATCATGCTTGGAAATGAGGAGGGTCAGTGGAAAAGAGGAAAACTCTGAACAAGATTGGCACAGTGACCATTTACAATAGGTTTGAGTATATTAAATATCATGAGGATGGCATACGAAAAGGCATAGTTTAGATGCATTGTTCTTAAAGTTGTTTTGAGTCATAGTCCCACATGGCATATAAAAACATGTGGATTTGATGTCCCATAAACACAGTAACATGTTGTTGTTGTTATGTGCCATCAAGTCGCTTGTGACTCACAGTGACCCTACGTACAATAGCCCTAAACCCTGCTCTATCCTGTGCCAATCTCACTGTCTCCGACACACCTACCCCCATTACGCCAGTCACTGAATCAAGCCACCTCATAGAGGGTCTTCCTTTCCTGCGTTGTCTCTCTACCTTCCCAAACATGACGTCCTTCTCCAAGGACTGGTTCCTCCTTGCAACATGTCCAAAGTATGTCAGATGAAGCTTCAGAATGTTTGCCTTCCAAGAGCAGCCTGGTTTCACCCTCTCCAGGATGAACCTGTTCATTTTCTTAGCAGTCCATGCTATCTTCAACACCCTTCTCCAACACCACAGCACAGAGGCATCAGTTCTCTTTCTATCCTCTCTAACTAGTCATTGTCCAGCTCTCTGAGGGATAGCAAGTGAGTGCAAAGACCACGGCCTGTGTCAGGTGCACCCTAGTCTCCAGAGTGACACCACTGCTCTTCAGTCCTTTGGAGAGGTCCCTAACAGCAGACGTTCCTATCACAATGTTGTTGTTAGGTGTCCCTGAGTTGTAGACGACTCATAGTAACCTAATGAGTTAAAGACCTGAACACTGTTCAAAGAGTTTCTGGAGGCAAGTCATTTCATAAGTGGATGCCATTCCTGCTTCCAAGCTTGTTTTAATCGGGAAGCTCCATGAAACACTGTCCACCATGGGTAACCATTATTGCATTTGGCACATCAGTGTCATAGTGTTTAGCACCAAAGCAACAACAAGTAACCTCTGTACAGCTCTGCAAAGACCAGTGCTATGCTGCTTTAAAAGGTGCTTGACAAAAAACAATTTATACTAGGCCTGAGGGCCGCAGATTCAAATCACTCACCTTGGGTTTGGTAGCATAACTTTCTGTCCAGTAAGCCAACATAGCTCTCTTTATGTTGTCGTTGTTATTTTTGTTAGGTGCTGTTGAGTCATGGACGACTCGCATGTCTTTTAATTTCCTGTCTGCTGGTGCCAAGAGTGTTGACAGTGGAGCCAAGCAAACTAAAGCTATTAACAATCTCTTCACCACCCATCCTGATGCTGCCAAATGGCCCAGTGGTGAGAATCTTTGTCTTCTTGATATTGAGCCTCAATCCATATTGAAGGCTACAGTCCTTGACTTTTTGTAGCAAGCACTTCAGGTCCTCCTCAGTTTCAGCAAGCAGGATTGTGTTATCTGCATAATGCAGATTGTTGATGAATCTCCCTCCAATCCTGATACCACACTTCTCTTCATACAGCCCAGCCTCCCAGATAATAAATAATTAACATATTTACACTAACAGATGCTTCCCCAGATATGCTCACCAAGTTGTGTCAAGAAATCTGGAAGACAACCACCTGGGTTCCCATTCCAAAGAAAGGTGACCCAACAGAGTGTGGAAATTACCGAACAATGTCATTGATAACACATGCAAGGAAGATTCTGCTGAAGATTATCCAAAAATGACTACAACAGCACATTAACAGAGAACTGTCAGAGATGCAGGCTGGCTTTAGAAGGGGTCGTGGTACTAGAGATATTGTAGCTAACGTTAGATGGATCTTGGCTGAAAGCAGAGAGAACCAGAGGCATGCCAATCTAGGTTTCATTGATTATGCAAAGGTGTTTCACTGTGTGGATCATAACGAACTGTGGCTGATTCTGAGAAGAATGGGAATCCCAGAATACTTGATCTTGCTAATGTGAAACTTATACTTGGACCGGGAGGTAGTCATTAGAACAGACAAAGAAACACTGCATAGTTCAAAATCAGGAAGGGTGTATGCCAGGGATGTGTCCTATCTCCATACCTTTTCAAGCTACATGCAGAACAATAACATAGGTTTAAAAAAAAAAAGAAAGAAGAGGAGGCAAAAGAAATGAGAATAATATAAGTAAAATTGCTTCAGAGGATAGCAACCATGTCAAATGTTAGAAATAACTTAAAAATATCTCTAAGAAAATAAAAATAAAAATAAAAATCAGAGCATTGTAGTAGCTACTGGAATCTCTTTTATGGGAGGTAAAAATATTTAGGAGGTTAATAATGATGGTTGTACAATGTTATGAGTTGTACACTTCAAAAAAATGACTATATAGTATGCATAAATTCTAAATTAAAAAAAAAAAGAGAGAGCAAAAGGTGGCAATATTCTATTTCCTAAGGAAAAAAAAAACCAAAAAAAAAAAAACCAAACACCCAATTATTCCATGTCCCTGGAAGTAAAAAATATTTTCTTGAAAAGCAGTCAGAAAATCAAAAGATGAATTGCACTAGGTAAATCTGCAAGCAAACTTTCTAGAGTACTGAGAAACAATGATGTCAGTATAAAGACTAAGGTGCACCTGATCCAGTACATGGTCTTTGACTTGTTATGCATCAGAGAGCTAGAGAATGACAGAAGCAGAATTGATGCCTTTGAATTGTGGTGCTGGAGAAGTCTTGAACATACCATGGACTACTGCCAAGAAAACTATTTTGGAGAGAGTGAAATAAAGTTTTCCTTGAAAGCTAGGTATTTGATGTTTCATCTCATACTTTTGGCAGGGGGCCAGGAGGGACCAATCCTTAGAGAAGGATATCATGCTCGGAAGGGTGGAGGGACAGCACAGGAGAGGAAGACCCAGGATGAGATGGATACAGTAACTGTAGGGTAGGTATGTCAAGTCAGTGAGACTGGCTCACAACAGGGCAAGCTCAATGGCACATAACAACATCTATATTTTTCCACATAGGAGAAGAGGAAAAACAATGCCAGGCAATGATGATAGACTCCTCCTGATTAAAGACTGGAAATGTACTTGGAAAAGCGAGCTCCTCTTGAAAGCATATGTACTGGCTGTTTCTTGACCAGGTTGCTTCAGAATCATTCTAAAATTAAGAGTTTGGCAAAACAATATTTTGTCAAGTAAGAGTTCAAAAGGTCATTACAAAGAAAGAGGAGGGAAAAAAAGACCAAAATGGATGTCAGAAGAGATCCTGAATATTGCTAGAATGCTGCGAAGCCAAAATGGAGGGAAGAATTCAAGACTTTAAAGAGCTGAGCAGAAGATTTCAAAGGACAGAGTGAAAGGACAAAGTAAAAAATTACAATGAAATGTGCAAGGAGCTGGAGTCAGAGTATGAAAATGGCTGAACTCGCTTAGCATTTCTTAAGCTCAAGTAACTGAAGAACAAATTAAAATCTTGAGTGTTATAATTAAGGATGTTTTGGGGAGAATATTGAATGATTCAGAAGTATTAAAAAAAGATGGAAAGAATACACAGAGTTACTGTACCAAAAGGAATAGGCAGACACAGAAGAAGTTCATGAAATAACATATGAGCAAGAGCCTATGGCAATGAAGTTGCTTTGAAGGAATTGACAAAAAATAAGGCCCCAGGAATTGATGGTATAACAATTGACATATTTCAATTAACAGATGCTGTTCTAGAATGCTCACCAAGCTGTGTCAAGAAATCTGGAGGACAAACAGTTGACCAACTGACTGGAAGAGATCTATGTTTGTCCCCATTCCAAAGAAAGGTGATCCAACAGTGTGTGGAAATTACCAAACAATAACATTGATATCACATGCAAGCAACATTCTGCTGAAGTTTATCCAAAAACAACTGGAACAGCACATCAACAGAGGATTTGCCAAAAGTGCAGGCTTGGTTTAGAAGGGGTTGTGGTAATATTGTACTTCATGTTAGATAGAACTTGGCTGAAAGCAGGGAGTACCAGAGGAATATCTATCTGTGTTTCATTGATTATGCAAAGGCGTTTTACTGTGTGGATCACAACAAACTGTGGCTAACTCTGAGAAGAATGGGAAAAACCCAGAACACTTGTATCGTGCTAATGTGAAACCTACACTTGGAGCAGGAGGCAGTCGTCAGAACAGAGCAAGGAAATACTGCATGGGTCAAAATTGGGAAGGGTGTACACCAGGGATATGTCTTATCTCCATACCTTTTCAACCTATATGCAGAAGATATTATCGGGAAGGCTGGGCTGTATGAGGATAAATGCGGCATCAGGATTGGTGGAAGATTCATCAACAATCTGCATTATACAGATGACAGCACCCTGCTTGCTGAAACTGAGGAAGACCTGAAGCGCTTGGGGCAGAAAGTCAAGAACTGCAGCCTTCAATATGGATTGAGGCTCAATATCAAGAAGACAAAGATTCTCACCACTGGACCAATTGGCAGCATCAGGATGGATGGTGAAGAGATTGAGATTGTTAATAGCTTTAGTTTGCTTGGCCCCACAGTCAACACTCTTGGCACCAGCAGCCAGGAAATTAAGACATATTGCAATGGTAAAGTCTGCTGTTAGGGAACTCTCCAAAGTACTGAAGAGCAATGGTGTCACTCTGGAGACTAAGGTTTGCCTGATACAGGTCATGGTCTTTGCCATTACTTGCTATTATTGTCCATTAAAGAGCTGGACAATAACTAGGGATGACAGAAGAAGAATTGATGCCTTTGAGCTGTGGTGTTGGATATACCATGGACTGCTAAGATAAAGAACAGGTTCATCCTGGAGAAGGTGAAACCAGGCTGCTCCTTGGAGGCAAAGATTCTGAAGCTTCATCTGACATACTCTGGACATGTTACAAGGAGGAACCAGTCCTTGGGGAGGGACGTCATGCTTGGGAGGGTGGAGGGACAGTGCAGGAGAAGAAGACCCTCTATGAGATAGATTGATTCAGTGACTGGTGTAAGGGGGTAGGTGTGTCGGAGACTGTGAGGGTGGCGTAAGGCAGAGCAGGGTTCAGGACTGTTGTACATATGATCGCTATGAGTCACAGGCAACTCAACAGCACAAAAAAAACAACAATGCAACATTAACTTGGCAAAATCCTTTTTTTTTATTCTGTAGAAACAGAGCTCAAACGAGAAAACTGTAACATGACTCTTCTCTCCCTCAAGCACTAAAGGTGGAGTGGAGGTGAAGAAAGATTCTGAAATAACTAATAATAATTATTTTTAATACAGGAGTTATAGCTACATATATGAATTATAAAATCTCTTTCTTTCTTAAATGAAAAGATTCCACATATACACACATAGGCGGTAGGGTAGGTATGAAGACGTATCAAAGAACTATATGGGGTAAAACCTGGCACAGCCCAGGAGTGAGAGGCTCTGATGGACCACACCATTGTTACCACAAGCTGACCTTGCAGCCTGGGCCCAAAGCAGCAGCCTCTGAAAGCAGTAATTAACAGAACAAGGAAGCAAAATGGTATATATCTCCACAATATGAACAGTCTTCCAAGCATCCTGAAAAACCTACAACCAGGAAAGAATAAAATAGATGAATAGAACCTTCTAACAATCAAAACCCTATGCACAGTAAAAAAAAAACTTCTCCAACAGGGTAAAAAGGGAGGCCACTTAAAAAAAAATTGGTAATGATATGTCTGATAAGGGACTTACATCTAGAATTTACAGAGTATGTGAGAGCCACAAGATAAACAACCCAATTCACCAAAGATGACATTCAGATGGCAAACAAACACATGAAGAAATGTTCAAAATCCTTAGCTCTAAGAGATGCAAATCAAAACAACTATGAGATACAATCTCATCCCAGTAAGAATAGCAAACTTCAATAAAGCAGCAAACAACAAATGCAGACAAGGTTGTGGCGAAACTGGAACCCTTAATATACTCTGAAGAAACCAGAACTGCCACCCAAGCAGATATATGCATACCCATGTTTTTATTGCTGCTTTGTTCACAATAGCAAAGAATTAGAAGCAACCCAAGTAAGTGCCCATTAAACTACGAATAGATAGCGAACTTGTGGTATAGTCACACAATGGAGTACCATGCAGCACTGAGAAACAAAGAACTCTTGAACTATTATACAAAATGGGTGATCATGGAGGACATTAAGTGAAACATCTCAGTCACAAAAAGAGAAATAAAAGAGATGCCACTGTTGTAAAACAGGACTGATATGGAGGTTGGGGAGAATCGGGAAAAAAGAGGGGAATGTAGGAGAGAACTATATTAAAAGAATATATGGGGGGGAAAAAAGAAGGAAAAAAAAAGAATATATGAATAGGTATTAACGGCATGACAAGAGTCCAGAGTAAGAGCTGCTTAGTAAAGTGAACTGGGGAGAGGACTGTATAACAATGCAAGAATGAATAAATGAATGGATGAATGAATTTCTTTATCTATCTATCGAATGATCGATCGAACTTGGGGGGAAGGAGAGCAGGGAGGAAAATGTGCAATGAAAGAAAATTAAAAAAAAAATTCTGTACAATTTGAGGGGAAAAAAGATAGTATAAATTCTCATTTTCGGCATGTTAAAGAACTTTTATTCCTTCTCCTCGCTTGGTGACAGGAGTGTTTTGACTAGAGGACTGTAGAGACTATAGCACTCCAGTTAATACCTGAAAGCTAATGAATTGTTTCTTAACCCTCCTAGGCGCTAACTTTTAGATCAAGAGCTATTTGGTAGTGAGGACTATGTTGTATATAGATACGTATTTAGGTATGTTGTGTACCTTCAAGTCTGAACTAACCCACTGCTGACCCTCCAGTAGGTCAGAGTCATTAAACTGAATGAGCGAAGGCTGCCCATCCTTCACCCACGGAGCTGGTGGATTTGAACTGTGTGCCTTTGGGACTGCAGTGCAGCTTCTTAACCATTTAGCCACTGGAGCTCGCCTGTTGTTAGTTGCTGCTAAGTCTACTACAACTCTTAGTGACCCAACAAACAATCGATATCAATCCTACCTTATCCTGTGCCATCCTCTTTATCTCTAATATAGCGGAGCTCATTGTTTTCATTTTTTTTAAATAGTTGAGTCCATTGTTATAGTCACAATATCAATTCATCTTGTGGAGGGTATTCCTCTCCTTCACTGACTTTCCACCTTTCCAAGCATGATGCCCTTTTCCAAGGACTGGCCCTTCCTAACAACATGCCCAAAATATGTGAAACGAAGCCTCATTATCCTTGCCTTTAATGTAAAAATACCTGGGTTGTATGTTCTCCAAGACATAGTTACTTGTTCTTTTGGCAGGGTCACTATGAATTGTACTTGACTCAGCACCTAACAACAGCAGCAACAACAGCAGCAGCAGCAGCAGCAGCAGCAATAATACACCATACCCAATTACAATATTCTTAGTGGGAAGAAGAGGTTTTGTCAATCCAAATGCATGTAGTTCGAATCCACCAAGTGCTCCATGGGCGCAAGATGGGCAATCTCCCCTCTGTGTGATTTAATTCTTCTGAAAACCTACTGGAGGGTCAGCTATAAGTCAGTTGCAGACTCAATGGTACATAAGAACAATTATTTGGGGTAGAAGGTCATTATTTGAATACAAGGGTGACAATACAACACAAAATTCTGGTAGATAATCAGACTAAGTATAGCCTGCCATTATAGATAAGATGTAAACCTAACTGGGCAGAGCTAGACATTAGGCAGGAAGGACCTGAGCCTAAGAACATGTCCATGTAGAAGATGGTGATAGGCCATATCCTTTATATCTTACCTTTCAAAAATGTTAAAAAACAACAACATTGCATGGCATGACACAGAAGTAGGGCAGAGATACTTGAACAAGGAGATACTTACTTGATTCACGATTTCTTCAAGCAGTATAACATCTTTCTCTCTTGATCCAGTGCTTTTTTCTAGTTGTAGATGAAATGCAGGAGAAAAAGGCTCCCCTACAACTTTCAATCCAGAAATGCTGAGGAGGAGAAAATACACATAAATTCCTTGCACATGCAAAGATATCTCACATAAAAATAATGCAAAAAGTCAACATTACAGATGCCTACTGTATGTAACAAAAGTTAAGGCTTTTCTTGGAAACGCCATCATAAGTGTGGTAGACTTCCAATTCTTGGAAACACCATGGTAAGTGTTGGAGACTTCCAATTCTGACAAAACTGTAAACACACTCTAGGCAGTGCTTCCTAATCTAGGAGAGCTGCCTCCATATAATCCTGACACATTTGCTGCTTTTATGAGCATGTGCTTCCCTCCTATTCCCAGATCAATATTGCTCTCAATTACAAAGAAACACCAGTCACCTGCTGCCTTTCACTGATGAGCCCTGCTGCCTCATCACCACAGCTCACAAGAACTCCTGAGAGTCCTATACCACTCACCCTTAGGGGTCCTGCCCTCACTGTCAGCTCTACTTGTCTCATCTATGCCTAGTTTCAGGTCACTTTCATGACCCTTTCATCACCCAATTTAGGGCAAGGTCCACTTTATTCTGTTACCTGTCCTGTTTAGTTCTTACACAAACTGCCTTCATGGGTTACTGGTTACAAGGTATTCTTTATGCCTTTATTTTGTCTTATAGTCTCATAAATTATGAGGGTAAGCTAACCTTTATTTTGATCACTAGCATTATGTTTGGATTTAAAGTTCCTTTTAATTATACTTAGTTATAATTTTACCTTGAGTTAAGATTATTTTTTCTTGTCTACTGCTTTAAGAAAGAAAAGTTTCTTTAGGGGATATGTGTGAAAGCTGTTTTCAAATTATTTTTAAAAAGGGCATGAGAACTGTGCTTGGTTAGGTTCCTAAAGTCCACTTTTTCTGTCTAGGACACAATGATGTCATATGTCTATCTGAAATTAAATAGAAATCCTGCATTTAGTTTGTTTTCCCTGGAAAGATATGTTTGTCTCCAAGAATGAAATCAGTATTAAAAATAGTAAGTAGTATATTTGATTCCTCCCAGTTCAGGACTCAACAGGCTTCACTGAGTAAACTACTAGGTACTAAGGACTTTCCTAGATGCTGGAAGCTAATATTCACCAGACTCTTAAAACCACTATATGCACAATAAATCTGTGTTTCTTTTCATCAAATGTACTATATCATGCTAAGAGCTCTCAGTAATTCAGGCTTCAGATGTGGGGAACATGTCTAGATGAGTTCTTTTATCAGTGTAGACACAATCATATAATTTCTAAACCCATTTTATAATGACTTTTAATTTTTTAAAATAGGAGTCAAAGTCTACAGAGAAAACAGGATTTCCATCAGATTTCATCCATGAAGTTCACATCTAATAGCACTCTTCCCAATCCTCCTTGTGATTTCTATTTCCACATATTCTTTCTTATTCCTTCTTGACTTCTGAGCAAATGCTTAGCTTTTAATCTCATACAGTCGATTGTTATAATGAGTACTGTCCTCTCTGTTGTTCTTGAACACCTAATATGTCTGCTGTTTGGCTTAGGGCCAAGTCTTAACTTTAAAGGTAAATTTGGTTTCAGGTTTAAAGGGTGACTAGAAACCAGTCTCAGGGGTTCCACCAATATTTATGATATCAGTTAAAGCTGGTCTTTATTACGGTTTTTTGGTTCCACATTTTCCACCCACCCTCTGTGGACCTTCTATCAGGGACCTTCTATTGTGATCTGCTTCAAAGCAGTCAGCACTGGTAGCAGCTGGACACTATTTCTTCTGGTCTCAGGGTTGGCAAATTGAGGTTTTTGTCATGTATTTCCATGAAGACATTTTGTACCATAGGATTTGGGCAACAACTATGCTTAAGGAAGCAGCCCACATTTCCTTCTTTTGTGGCATCCAATAAAAATGCATCCCCCTTAATGAATTTTCTTAAATTATCAGATGAAGTATATTTGATTTTACTTGACAATTGTTCATTACCAAAGACCTGCTGATTTTGAGATGCTGGAGGTGATTCCTCTTGGGGCTTTTTTGTGTTTGAATCTCAAACTCCTTTATCATTCTTTGAGGATCTAATGTGGTCGTTTGGTTATCCTGGTCCTTTGATGGTGTTTTACACTGACTTATATTCTATCACATCTGTGTCAATCAGCAGGCGTCTTCAGGATCAGAAGTTGAAGTTTTTATGGTACATCAGTCCTTTGGACTAATTACTTTACACATCTTCATTTTCTTCCCACTTCTCTGCACCAGAGGGAGAGAGCACCTTAGAGTACCTTAGATAGCTACACATGAGCTTTTTGTGGACTATGTATTAGTATAGGCTATTATTGACTTTGTCTCTCAACCTTAATACTAGAAACAGGAGAAGTGAATTGTTGATTATCTCTCATTCTCATTGTCTTGAGTCAGAACCGATTCAGAGCTGACCCTTGCTGGGTTTCAGGTCACAGGAGGAGATTGTCCATCTTTCTATAGAAAAATTAAAATATTATCCTAGAACTAACAGTGAAGTATTGGAGGAAAAGAAATCATGATAATAAGTTAAAATTAACATAAATGGATAAATTAGAAATAGAAAATAAAACTGAAAAAGTATAAATACAAAGGAGAGAGTCAGAAGCTACACTTCAACTTGAAGAGAGCCTTTAAGGAGGGTTCTTCCCAATTTTTAAGGAAAGAATAAAGAAGCTTTATTTTATATGGCAGCTCTGGTGGTACAGTAGCCCAAGAGCCTGGCATCTTCGCAGCGACTGCACAATATATTCTTATTCTCTATGCCCCTGATAGCAGATTTGCTCAATCCACAAAAACATTGTTCTACATCCTACTTTGATGAGTAGCAACTTACAATCTTAGAAACCCCACTGAAGATCAGCTATGAATCAGTTCTGACTCGACAGCAATGCACTTTTTATGTCTTACATAGTTGTTCTAGGAAACAGAAAATGTAGAAAAACCATTCAACGTTTTCTTAGGGTACCATAATGTTTCCAGAGTGAGTTCTTCACTTTTTATTCTCCAATTCCAGTTCTCTGCACATACCATTTATAATATTTTGCTTTGTCCTCCTGAGCTGCCCTTTGAAATCTCTGTTCAAGGTCTTCTACTTTGTTTTGGCTTCATGATGCTTCAGTGCAATTTTTAGAATCTCTTCTAACAACCATTTCGAATTTTTCTTTCTCCTGTTTTCGTAATGACCTTTTGTTTCCTTCATGGATTTGAAACATGAATATGATCCCATAACTCTTCTGGTTTTTGATTACTGGTGTTCAGTGCTTCCAACCTATTCCTAAAATGATCTTCAAATTCAGATGGAATTGAATAACAATCCTATCTTGGTTCCTGTGGACTTAGTTTTCTTCGGCCTCAATTTGAACTTGCATAGGAGTAATTGATGGTGTGACAGATAGTTTTGATTGCCAATATTAAACTTCTCTAAAAACTTTTTCCACAAACATAGTCAATCTGATTCCTATGCAGTCGATCAGATGAGATCCATGTGTAAAGTCATCATTTATGTCTTTTAAATAAAGGATATCTGCAATGAATAAATCACTGTAAATACAAAATTCAATCATTCTATTTCTAGCCTAATTTCTATTACCAAGCCCATATTCCCCAGTTGGAATCTGGTTTCCCCTTTTGTGCCCCTAATTTGCGACAGGAACCTCAGAGTTTCGCACATGGCAGGAATCTGAGACTGCGTTCTTCCCTGGACATTCTGTCCCAGATCTCCATCGCACTTGTAGACCTCAAACCAAATAAACAACATCGGCACCTAACAACAAACAGATCTTAAGGAGGACACAGCCCTCAACTTGGAAATTATCATATTGTGACATCTATGTGGTACAAAAGGAAGAGCCGAGATACTAAGTCATAAGACAACAGTTATGGAGCAGAAACTCGGAGCAACCACCGTTCCATAATACTGTCTCAGACAAAAATGGGATTTGGACATAAATCCTCTTAAATGTGAAACAAAAATTAGTGTAATAACAGCATTACGAGGCACAAGCCATCATAGAAGTGACTCATGGCCTAAGCCATCAAATCAAGGGGTGCCTGAGGGAAGGTGCTGGACAGGGTAGGAAGGAGTCCAAGGGATGTTGATGTAGTATAAAAAGGGAAGAGACAGAACACACATGCTGCGGGTGGGGGTACATTCAGTACTGAATGTACTGGTTATCTCTGTGAGGAAAAGTGTCTTTCATCTGCTCCTTATGGTAAAATGCTTGTCTGTCACCTACTGTTTGAAAGCTAAGCATCCAATTAAGACAGTCTAGAAAGAAGGCTTGGCCATCCACTTGCAAAATACAACAGGCATTCGAAAACCCTAAGTACATTTAGAGTAGATGAACAGATTATGGCAACTGAGGCTGAGTCCTCAAATTTAGCAGAAAATAATGATTAAAGATTAGGATGTGAGAAGAATGAAAGCAGGAAATCTGGACATCACTAAGAAAGAAATGGAATGCATATATATTAACAGGAGATATTAATGAAATGAGATGGATTGGCATGGGACATTTTGAATCAGATGATCATATGATCTACTATGCTGGAGATGAAAAGATGAGGAAAATAGGGTTGCTTTCATAGTTAAAAAGGTTGTTTCTAGATCCAACATGAAATACAATGTTGTGAGTAATAGAATAATATCCATACACATACAAGGTAGATTTGTTAATATCACTATTCCAATTTATGTACCAACAACAAGAGCCGAGAAGGAGGAAATATATGATTTCCACCAACTTTTGCAGTCAGAAATCAATAGAAGATGTAACCAAGATGCTTTAATGCAAAGTTGGGAACCAAGAAGAAGAAACAGTAGCCAGAAAACATGGACTTGCTGACATAATGAAGCTGGGGATAGAAGGAAAGAATTCTGCAAAATCAATGATTTATTCGTAGCAAATATCATTATAAGAAAGATAAATGCACGTTATACGCAAAGATTTCAGGAATCAAACTGATTACATCTGTGGAAGGAATCTTTGGAGAAGTCCAATATCAGCAGTGAAAACT